ATAGCAGATAGAACTATATAAACTTTGGACAGTGGGAGAATACGTATTTTACTATAAACTGGGGTCTGCCAATATTTTATAAGGACAAGAAAGCTTTCATAACCAGTTTCATGTTAATCTGAACAAACCACTGAATTCATAGTTGACTTTTAAGCAGTAAAGTGGGATAGCACATCTTTAATTATTCCCCAAATATGCTTTTTTAATTATCTTCTTATTTGTTAAGTAAGTCTGTACCACTTTCATACCAATATTTAGCACCATGTAATGGGATATTCACCATTTAGCCTCTGGGGAATGTACAGTATATTGTTTACTCTGTGCTAGAATAAAGGGTCCAATTGTAACAAATGTTCATCCTTGCTTTCTGTGATAGAACGTCAACGCTGTAAGAGCAACAGCATGCTTTTGACCATGAAGCTGTAGCTTATTTACAAACAAAAGAATGCCCCCCTCCCTCTTTTCCCAGTTGCTTATTCATGATTATGATTTCATTAATAGTACTACATGTTGGGTTTCCTTTACATGGGAAACTAGGGTAGGTTTTAATCACTTCGTCTTAAACTGAACTGGACCAGTGCATACCAAACAAGCACAGCCTGGCATTTCAGTATGAGCCCCACTACTTTTTAGCATCTCATTACTTTTAGCAATGCTGTATGAGAATACCGGTGCTGAAAGATGTAACTATACACACAGGCATATATAATCATGTTTTCTTAGAAAATGGAAAATAAATAACACATTTCTTGAGGGGGTGAGTAATGGACCAAGAACCTGTAATATACCAGGATGTCTGTTACCCGCCTCCTACCAAGAAAGAATTGTATTTTCTTAACAAAGTTATTTGGATAGAGGGTGGATAGGTGGGAAATTTTTGGGGTTTTTTTGGTAACAGACATGCTGGAGAGAAACAGCTTTGGTTGTCAGTCAAAAGGCAGTTTAAACTCAGATTAATTCTAGGGATTTGGTGGGGTTTTTTTGTTACTGCAATTTAATTTAAAAAAAGATACTTCTTAATTGCAAGCTGATGCCCACTGCTCTTTGACAGTGAAATGATATTCAGTGTTGCATTGCTTTCGCACAGCAGTTCATAGCTATAGCCTACAGACTAGTAGTATTAACAAAACATATATAATATATGCGTAGTATTAACAAAACATTAGCACATCAGGTTCAACAGTGGTCCGTGTTATTTCTGTAGCAACACTGCAGGCTTCTGACACTGTAAGGGGGTAGATACACTGTAAGTTCATAGGGAACAAACAAATAATCCCATTATACTGTCTCGTGGCAGATATTTTATTTTGTGGCTGTGCAGAATGACGGCCAATATTGTTCTCTATGCTGCCTGCTGGTAGCTGGGGGAAGGACGGAGGAGCTTTTTGGTTCCTATGTTCTATTACAAGAAACCAAACTGGTAACAAAATGCTGATGGAGCTCTTCCCTCTACTCCTTGGGAGGCAGAGTCTTCTGAGTTTGGCAGCTTGTACTACTCTGAATCCTTCAGACTCCCTTACCTCGTTGAGCTGGATGCTCTGTGCCTAGCAATGCTTCTGCTGTCTATGAGCAGAGGCTGCAGGAATGTTCTTCCTACTCTGCTCTCCATGTAACACTGACTATGCTACCTCTGTAGGGGAAAAAATCCCAACCTTGAGTTCTGCTTCAACCTTACAGGTATTAAAAGCTCTAGCCTTTAGCCATGAGTAATATCCACTCCTGTTTGTGTTAATTTGTGCACCGCAGGACCTCTGATTTAACTTAATACAATTGTAATTCTCTTCTTTTGTCAAAAGCTTGTGAATATACATGAAAGAGTAAGAGAGAGAATAAGGAAGAAAAGAAGTGGCTGTCACTCGGTGTTTTCTTTGAGATATTTTCCCCAAGGCTTGGATTTCTTCAGAGCACGTACAAATACACTGAGGAGCACGCAGTAAAACATCAAAGGTAAGTTGCTGCTTGAGGTGAGAACAAGTTCTTATGCCAGGTCTAGCTCTCCATGGTGACAGTCATGATGGCACCCAAAGGCCATTTCCATGCATCAGTCTCTGCACTAAGGTTTTTCTGAAATATTTCTGTGGTTCAATCACTGGCAAACATCTCAAGCCACAAGAAAATGGACTAAAGATTCAGCTTTCACTGCATGTTCTGTCCGTGTTAAGAAAAGCTAACAGTTTGATCCCCCTCAGGCAAGGCCAGAGCTCTGGAGCCAGCTGCTGGCAATGCTGTGTGGGCTATGAAAGGTCTCCAGAAGAGCATATACCATCTGCAACAGCTATGTTTCTGTAATATCCCAAGCAGCTTCTGCTGTTCTTTCAGGACTGAGTAGTAGCTTTGCTGTGGCTATTACCTTTAGAGCTTTAAAATGTGGTATCACCATTGTTCTGAATGAAACTGGAAGCATATTTTTGCATGTGCAGAAAACACATCCAGGTATATTCAGGTGAGCAAAGATACATCTCTGACTCGTACAGACAAAACAACCTGTGCAAATAACTGTGAATGCCTACAGGCATATGTGAGGAATGCATGGCATGACTAGCACTGGGGAAGGGAAGGCAGGACACTTTACTCATAGTAAAGCAGACTGATGTAGACCAGATGTTGTAGGAGCAGCAGGTCTGCAGTATTTGACTTTTTTGTGAGACTAAAGCTTTTGTCTGTCATGTGCATAGTGTTAAGACTTATGATTCCTTTAGCTGTTGCTTCTCTTTGTCCATAAGGCAGGCACTTAAAAAGACTTTCAGGATATGAGTTAAAATTATTTCCTAATTTTATAATGGATGCTTGTTCCAAAATAATCTGCAGTTTTAGTTTGATTTTTAGGCTTTCATGTGAGAAGACTGGAAGCTGGCTGATGACCTGATGATGTTCTTGAGGGAAAGAAGTCTTTCTAGAGGAATCCCTACAGCAACCTGTCTCACCCCACCAAGGTAGCCCAACTTAGCGAAGTATAATGCAGGTAGCCTTCACCATATACACTGCTGTGGAAGCACTGTACATGAACTATGGATTTGGGTGTCCCCAGCACCCAAACCCATAGCTCCTAGTTTCCCAGGCAGTGACACCTTGCTATGTGCAACGCACAGCACATACTGCCAGATTTCTGAAGTTGTAAAAGCATAGCTAACAACCAGCATGGTTTCATTTTGAACGTATGTTTGCAAGGCAAAAGCTTCAAAAATTCACATCTTTCTAAACTGGGTGCTTGACCAAATTAAGCATAGATCAGAAGTAATGTGTGACATACACAGAGGCCTTTGCTAGGGAGTGCCAAAACCTTTCCACTCTGGACAGCATGTTTCTGGTCAGATTATGCTGCAGTCATCCATCGGCAATTGCTTGAAACTAGACCTCTGGGGCATATGGGGGAAGATGGATTCCTTGCACCTTAAGAAAGACTTTTGAACTAGCTTGGAGGCCTAGGATATAAATATACTGTCATCATAATTTGTTCTTGCCTTCACTGCCAAAAACAAGCATAATTTTTTGAAGAATGCCAGCCTTGTAAATACTCCGCTATTCTCAGCTCTCAAAAGAGCAACTGTGTCATTTTTTTGTGATGTAACATTACTGTTTTCTGACAGCTAGCATGACACAAGACTAGAGAAATTGGACGCTGCAGCATTTCAAAACCTAGCTGCTTTAAAGTCTGATGATAACCTTGAAGTGCTTATTCAGTGTTACCTGAATAAAAAATATTCCAGTATTAGATTGTCTTTGAAAATCCAATAACATGATAAATTTGTTGCTGTTGCACTAAGGCCATTGTTGCACCAGCTACTTTGAAGAAGGCTCACTCTCTCCTCCCCCCAGGAGTTCATACTTCACAAGTGAAACAAGTATCATCTCCAACAGCCATAAGCATTAGGAAGGTCCCCAACTTCCTTTCTAAACTGCAATGTAGGACAAAATGCATTACCTTCACAGTGAATGACTGTTTTTACACAGAAGTCATAGAATTGGTTAGACTGGAAAAGGTCTTTAAGATCATTAAGTCCAACTGTTAACCTCGATGGAATCAGATTTCAGACTTTTTAATTGCTATTGAAAAGAGTGGTAGCAGAATTGGCCTGATGGGATTTACTCCATACATGTCTTTACCCTTTTTCACCAGTGGGAGTAATCAAATGTAAAGCGATTTAGCTGCAATGAAAGATGAAGGACAGTATCAGGCTGGTTTTGAGCTACAGGGAGAAAAGTTTTCTGCAGACAAATCCAAGGGAGAAACAGACCTATTCCTCAAAAACAATAAAAAGTTTCTGAATTCTTCTTCAATATTTTAAGAAGCCTTCTCTTCATTCTCAGAGTAAATACAGCAAGCCCCAAAAATGTTGCAAGCAAATGTGATAAATGCAAGAGCAGTTTTTTGTAGACTGCAACCTTAACTGCAGAGAGAAGAAAATGCCTCTCCATAAGAAAGCAGCTTGTGAGTGAGCAGAGTTAACACAGATACATGAATTTTATGTGTCTTCAGTTATGGCTTGAAAATATCAGTCCTCAGTAGTAATATAAGACAAGATCTGAAAACTGTTCAGTGTGTTCACTGACCTAGTGAACTGATCTTTTTCCCTCTAAGTTTCAAAAACCTGAAAAGGTGGAATCATGATTTTCAATAAGGTACTATTTCACGGAATGAGAATGAAGAAATAGCCTCTTTAGGAAGACCTCTTACAGGTTAAATTTCCTTGGCTGGGTCTTCCCTGATGGCATCCTTTTCTTCTAAGCCTATATGCTTTAAATTTACCTCTTCTGAGGAAGAAATGGAATTAAGATAGCCTAGGTAGTACATGGGAAGACACTGACTTCAGTTAATCCTTACTTTTGCACATCAGACTCCAGATGAATGGTTCCAGCTTTACCTGTTCCTAAAGCTTCAGTTATGGCTTTTAAAATTTGGCCTGGTTCTATGGAAGAAAGACCACCATGTATTAAAGCATTAGTTGAAATTAAAAAGGTGATCATAGAACAGATCATAAAACAATAAATGCAGGCTGCTGTTGGAGGGAGTGGATTTTTCTGCTACTTTCAGACCCCGATGCCTATAGTTGCTGATTAGAGGAGATGGAGGATCCTTCTGAAAGAGGCTGGTTGCTGATGGATGGCTTCAGTGCCTGAGGGTGCTGGATGCCCTGAAGTAGGAAAGGAACTTGTAGCAGAGGCTCACCACGAAGTACCAGATGTTTCGAGCCATCTGTGACCTTGCAATGAAAATGCGCCAGATGATCACAAGAAGTGTGGTGTTGAATGCGTATCGGATGTTCCTCAGCCTGAGAAAGAGAAAGAGGCACCTTACGGAGGTAGACAAAAACAACAAAGAGCTTACCAGATTGCTTCATTTGCTACAGGTAATTTTGTAAGAAATCCCATTTACAAGTGGCCCTTGGGCTTTTTGCCATTCCTGTTTTAGTGAAGACACCGTGCCTAAGAAGTCCCTGCCAAAGACTGTGTGGAAGTTAGGGCACAGTGAGTAGTTACTGGTATGGGTGGAATACCTGTATTACAAGTCTCTCTTGTTCTGTGTACTCTCAGTATGACTGCTGTTCTGGTCTGAAGTGAGCATTTTTATTTCATGATATTCTAGGTCCAATACTTTCTTCTTTGATTTGGTATATTGGCTATTTTTCACTCTGCAGGATTGGTAGCAGGCTAGAGAGCCTTTGCAGGAGATGATGAATAAAGTTTTTCCGTTTGGGTAGAACCTTGTCTTTAATGTTGGGAAATTACTCAATAATCATAAATGAATGGTCTTCACTTTTGCAGTAACTGCAGCAGTGGGGTTTTGAGGAGGGTGGTTTACACCATGTATTTAAATAGTACTATTGGATCTTTACGATGTTAATCACAGAATCAACTAGGTTGGAAAAGACCTCTAAGATCATCAAGTCCAACCTTTATCCCACCGCTGCCAAGCCCACCATGTTGTCCTCTTTCTGTCATGTAAAAGTTTCTGCAGTTCTCCAATTCTCATTTTGCCAGTGTCTGAACAAGGGAAGAAAACTTAATACCTAATGTCCTAAGACGCGTTTAATTTTTGGAAGAGTCTTTCTTTTTTGGTAAACTTTCTCACTGCACTATACAACACTGCTTATTTGGACTATGAGGCAAGTACTGGCCTATTACAGAGGTTATTATAAATCCTTTAAAAATTACCCATGAATGAAGAATGTGTTTAGCATTCCTTGCTATACCAACAGGCTGTTTTATGCTTCTAGCATTTACAGTGCACTAGAATGGTTTTCTTGAAGGAAACAACCAGGCTTTTACTCTAAGAGAGCTGCTCCTTCTGCTGTTGCCTGCACTTCTCAGTAAAAGAGCTGGAGAAGACAGGAAGAGCATAATCTTTAACTGAATAGAAGGACAATCTCATATTGCTCATTCAGACTGTCTTAAACTGTCACCAGGGATTGATACATAAGCATAAGCACTTATTTTGGAGAATTTTTGCCCATTCCTCCTCTCGGGAATTAGAAATTTCAATTTTATAATGAAATTTAAAATCATACAAATGCTTAAAGTTTTTATGCTGTGTCTTTAAACTGCGAAAAACTTCTAAGAGCTTACAAAAACCTAAATCTCACCCTTATTTTTTGTGTTGTAATTCTGAATGACCAAGATCATCTGTATTCATGTATTCCTTTTATGCGTTGTAACTCTGTTACTTGGTCATCTGCTGGGAAGGCATAATATCTAGCCCCTGATCATTAGTGTCGTCAAAAGTCCTCTTTTTCTTACAGGATGGAAAAATGAAATACTGACAACCCTCTGCTGTAAGAAATAAGCTATGCTGTATTATTCAACAATGATGTAACCAGAATAATTTTCCTCCAAAGCCACTGAAGGTAGCCAGGAGCTCTTGTCCTTGTCACTGGGTAAGACTTACTTTCGTAAGTGCTGCTTTGCTGCTGGAATGCCAGCCATGTCCTCATTTAGCAAGTACTTCTTAGCGCCTAGGCAGTAGCTTTCAATGTATTCTGACCAGTGCAGCTGACGAACATCAAAGTTGTATAACTGGGATTTAAAGAAAAAGAGCAGAAGTTAAAGAGAGAGTTCAAAACAAGTTCACATTAAGCACTTCACTCACCTCTGTTCCTGACAAAGCCTTCTCTCTGAAGTTCTTAAAGCCACCAAGTTTCCAAGAGGACAAGGGTACCAACATGCTGTATCTCACAGCTGTCCATTAGTTTCTTACCCAGCTGGAAATTTGGGCAAAGCAGGCAGAAATTTAGTGCTAGCTGGCAGAAAATAAAGTTTGTCCTTCAGGTGGCATAAATACATGTATCTGTACACACACATACACACACACAGAATCGTGGAAGAAAAATGGCATTCTACTCAGTTTTAATGTGTCACTAGAATTATGTGTAAATAACTGAATTGGACATTGCATCAAGAGATGCCTCTGCATCAGTATGACTCTCTGCTGTGCTGCATTCTTAGAAGCTAGACTGACAGAAGTCCAAGAAATGGTTTACTCTGGTGTTTGGCATGAAAACATCTCATTGCAGAGTTCATTACCCCAGTTAATTTCAAATGCTTATACTGGAAAAATTGTTAGCAAGCTCTCAGGCACTTGTCTGTCCGTTAGAGCAAATAAAGTATTTGTAAAGAGGAAGAGTTTTTATTACAGATTTATTATTATTATTATTTAATGAATGAGTGAAGTGAATGGCATTTCTTATCTACAGGGTCTTAAAAGGGAAGATACCCAGAAAAAATACCTTCCTTTCACTCCCTTGCCAATCCAGGCTTAGGTGCAAGAGCTTTGGTATCAGACCAGCAATAGCTTGAACAGAGCTAGCAGAGCTAGCTACTGTGTAGATCTTTGTGCCTTTGTTAGATATATATATAGACATATGGTCTGCCCATAAACTATCTAGCTTGAATATTGCTCACAGTGCAGCGATGGCAACACTGGATCTCACAAAGTTCTCATAAGCAGCTTGGTAAGCCTGAAACTCTGTCAACCTTGTGCTTGATGCTGTACTTTTTTATTCATCTGCCTCAAAACTAGCTCCTATCATACCATTTAGGTTCCTTCTACATCTGCTGTAGTGACAGCAGTGCCACTGCCCTTAGAAGTTAGAATTTGCTGCATGTGGTTCCTCTGCAGACCAGGGAAGAAAACACTTGATTCTACTACTGGGAGTCTGTGGAAGAATTTCATTATGTGAATGAGACCAGTTTGATGTGAATGCCTAAGTATCTCTTTGCGAGGACACACTGACCAAAGGTGCACTCAAGCTTATCACAAAGCTACTCGGTATTCCTTCAGCCTTTCCATTACAATCTCATTCTTACAGAGTCAATAGTTTCAAACCTATGACTACAAGAAAGCTTGACATCCTGCAAATTAATTGCTCTCTGTGGACTTGAATAAAACAGCAACTTTTTGCATATTGTTCAGGGTAACACACTATGTGTTAATTAAATTTCCTATGCAGTGCCCATTAAAACCAATGTGGATGAAAATGTCAAAATCTTTCCATGTAGAAATACCAAAAGTCATTCCCATCTAGATCACCACCACAGCTGCCATGTTAACTGGAAAGACTTCAGTGATTGACCTGTCTCAGAAGAAAGAGCAACACACTTCAGGAGAAGACATTCTCCTGTAATAAATGGAAGGTTCCTGATAAGTTTTTTAATGAAGCAAGGAGGAAATAAATTATTTTGGGTTAAAGTCAATTCCAGTTATCTGGATGTCATTCAAAAGCTTGAAAATACACCAAAATGAATTGCTGCAGATTAAAAGAACTGGAGGTTAGCAATGCATATTCAGGACGTTCTTACCTTTTTGTCCTCTGTGTTAAGGTGACTCATTAACATATTCATATTCTCTGAAGACCAATCCCAGGACTGGGTGGAGAAATACTGCAGGAGTGTCATAGACTTATGCAGTCGATTAATAATCTTCATCATTCTGAAACAAGAGGAGCGTCAGAGGTGGATAGGAAGTTTGACCTTATGCAAAAGCTGTCCGTTTGCTCTACAGGTGTTTTCACCAGTCCAGATAGGCATTGCAATTCCTAATGAGCACTGCACTGATGCTGAGAACTTGCTCAGCAACACTAACTGCTCCAACTGAGGTCTTGAGCCTACAGTTATCCAGCTTTTATTCTTGGCTCAAACATGGGTGCAAAAGTGTATTTCCCAGGGCAAGATTGATGCCTAACTTAGTGAACTAAACAAGGGTTGGAGGCCACACATGTACCATGTATGAAATGAAGAGCCCATCTGAACTAGTATGAAGTCTGCACAGCAGATAGCAAAACCACAAAGGTATGTTGCTTGCCTCCTGAGGTGGCTACTTCTCTTTCTACCATGGACTCATCCTTCTAGGCTGCCAAGGTCATGCCCTCTGGACAGCATCCCTTTTGTCTAGAATATCAACCACACCACTCAGTTTGGTGGCATGCTTTTCATGTCTTTGGGCTTCTTTGATATCTCTCTGTCAAAAGGGCATCCCCTCCCTGTATAATATAGTGCAAGTTTGGAATATTTTTTTGTGTCCTTTCTTACAGATGAAGGCTCTGATAGCATCCACTCCTGGCTGATGACCTCGAAAATCATGCAAGTCCATTAGATTTTATTTCTGGGGGAGTGGGTAGGGTGGGGTTTGAATGTCTTCCTGGTGTGTGAGTGTCTTCGTAAGGATGAAAGTTGCTTTGGGGGCAGAGCTGCTTAACAGGGACTTTGTAAACGCAGGTTCAGGTTTCTCATGTGTCTTGGCCTTTCTTCTGTTATTAATTTTTCATATAAAAGGGGGTGACAGTAATGCTGTCCCACCTTGCAGGATTATTTTACAGTTGTCCCAACGGTCATGAGTATAAAATACCTTTGGCAGTTGTGTGATGTACAGTGCCCAGTCAATTTTGAGAGACCACCACATTCTCTCAGACTGGATATGGGCAAGAGAAAGCATTAAAAGGCTGATTTCTGTGGAAAACAGAGCTGCTTTCATGACAAGTTTTGAGCTGCCTGGAGGGTAACACAGTTGCTGTTGACAAAAAAGGCAGCAGTCTGGGGAAGAATGGTGCCAGGCTGGGCTCTCGCCATGCAGATGTGACTGCCACAATGATAAGCACTAAGCACAGCAGAAAAAGACACAATAAGTACATCAGTTCAGAGAAGAACTGCTCAGCTTACCAAAGCGAATTGAAAGAGCACTAAAACCTTACATACGCACTCCTACTCAGAATTAAAGTGTCTTTCATTTTAGAAGCAAAGCACACCATCTGATTAAGGGAACCTTCATTCTGAATAATTATGTGCACATTGATTGAATGCAGTTTATCCAAACTACTTTAAAATTACTTCAGATTAATCTTCCTTATTGTGCCTGTGTAAGCAAGCGCTATGGGACAAAGCTTTGCAAGTATTTTAGTACCTTTTAGGAACTTGGGAAACAAAGTATATGACTAGACTGCAAAGATCTGAAGCTGCCCCTCAAACTGGCTCTCCAAAAGCCATCAGTGTATTTAAAGGGCTTAGGGTAACAGAATCTGTCAGAAAGAAATGATAATCAACTGTGTGTCCCTAGTTTTGAAAATAGGTTATCCATGTGGCTCCTCTCAATGTGGGCAGAATAAACTGTGACTGTAGATCTACCCAAAGCAACATTTCTGGGTGGCTAAAAGTAAGGGGCAAAAAGAGAAGTGAAGCATCTGACAAGGTGTGTATGAAAAAGGTGTTTCGTGTTAACTGACTGAGCTAAAATGTGACCACATTCAAAATATTGACTAATTTGGATGAAGGAGTGGTCTACTGAAAAATATCAACTGAGTAGAAACATGCTTTTCTGTAGCCTCAGAGAGGTGATGGGAAAGATTTTGTATAGAAAATCTCATTCTCCATTGTGAAGGAACTGGGATTATTAGCTGTCACTCGACAGACAGCCTTATTAGTTACACTTTGAAATATATCTTGTCTTCTAGAAAGCTGCAATGATTTCTTTATTTGCTCCCATACTGACCCTTGCATGAGCAGATTCTCAGGTGCAACAGACTGCCCCAGGAGACTACTAATGATATAAAACACATTATTTTCTAAGTCATGGATGGATGTGCAGCAATAACAGTAAGCCATTCAGGGAAGTTTTGCTAGACATCTAGAAATTTATGTGAAATGAGCTAACACTTAAAGCTAGCTTCTCAGGAGAGGCCTATATGAGTCTGAAGCTGAAGGAGATGAATCCTGTACTACCCTTTGGTATCAGCATGTGATAACAACCACAGATGTGAAGATGACCAGGGACTCCAGGCTGAGACAGCTCATTCTCAGAACTTGCTGGAGATCCGCTCTCCGTAACAGTGGCAGGCATGCAGGAGGCTGAAGGCATGTGGTTTCTTACCTGGGCTTTCTCCCCGTGAGCCTCATGTACAGGTCATAGAGTATGGCTGGAGCCTTGTGACTGACGGTTATCCAGTACTGGTTTATCAAGTAGTTGGATGTCAAGTGAGCATTGGGTGTTCGGAAGGCCTGCTCCAGTGGGTTCCTTTTGAATGTGGACATAACATACTGCTCTGTAAGAGAACAGGCATTTAACTTAAAATCAGGGACTTAATTCAGTTGGGCACAACCATACCAACATGCTGAAGTAAAGCCCAAGTTACAGAGCTTAACATCTTTACCCTACAGTTCCATAAACTTTGTAACCAGGGGTTGGACAAGGTCATCTTGGCATTAAAATTGATGACTCCGTTTATTGACTATTTGAAACACAATCTGACTCTAGACTAAGCAGCAGCAAGCAAAAAATTCCTTATCAAAACACCAAAATGTAATGGAGGAAAAGCAGGCAGTTGTAGCCTGAAACGCTTCAGACCAAGGAACTACAGTTCTGCTTTCATGTGCAGTAGACATAAAGGAAATTGGTGTTAACATATCTTCACATCACTGAAAGCAAACTTTGATCTGCTAGCATAAAACAAAAATGACATTTCTAATTTTTAATCTAATTTTCTAAATGGCTGATGTCAAGATTAGTCTGAGTCAGAGACCATGGTTTAGCGGTGGACTTGCACACACAGAGTGATGCTTCTAAGAAGACAGCACTATATCCTTTCAAACTACATCTGACCCACACCACCAAATACCTCTGCCTGTTTCCTGATGGGCTCTGGATGCAGTAACGCACCAAATTGTCTTGGATTTTTAACTTGAAAACTAATGATAGGGTAGTGATCTTTCATTCCCTTTTTATTTTAAGGCACAAAATATGTTGGGTCTGATTCTGAGCTCTTGCAATGGCGTAGTGCCACAGAAGTAGCATCTAGATGTGCATATCTGGGGCATTTACATATTGCAGAGGCTTAATAGGACTGCAGTAGTTGAATATAAGACTATCATCCTAGGGACTGATAAACAGATGGTGCTCCTATTCCTGAGCACCAGTGAGCTCAACAAAGAAGAATATGTGGGCTTTTCTTACTAAAAAAAAAAAAAAAGAATTTGAGAGTTATGACATCTGTGCTCATATTCTAGTTTACTCTCTAAGCTTATGTTACAAATAGAAAATCAGATGAAAATTTGCAAGTCACAAGAAACATCCAGATCATCCTCAGATAAGCAGATTCCAATCATAATATTCATACGGTACTCTCATGTATCTGTGGTCGGCTCATTACTGCACTTCCAAGTAGTAACTTTTGCTCATTTTAAGTAACTGCAACTATAGGAGACTTTTAAGCCACTTAGCTGCTGAATTTAGACAACAGACTTTCAAAATAATACATTTTAGCCTTAGTGCAAATTCATCGTTATCTTTTGTCCCCCTTATGCTGCAAGTTTAATGGCTGAAGACCAGTTCTCCTGAAACTCATCTTGCATCGGAATAGCTAAAACTGACTGCCATCCCTCCTGATTTGTGTAGCCACACTGCAATGATGTAGTTATCTTGTGGTCATCTTGCGGGCTGAGGTATGGAAATCTTATCCTTTGCAGCATGTTCTCTCAAAACGTCAAGAATTAGCTAAAAACTCCTATTAAACTTTTCCAGGTAGTGTGCCTGGCAGGGAGGGTTCACTGGAGCAGTTTTGGATGTTCTGGAAAGGTGTTTACTCCTAGGGATAAGCAGTTTGGGATGGGTTACTAGTAAGGAAGCCGCTGTCATGGTCCAGCTCTTCATAGAGTTTGTGTCTGTCTAAGCAGTGCGTGAGGAGCTTCTTTCCTCTGTGTTAGCAGCATGGCCATTTACTACAATTATACTTTGTCAAAGTTATAGCTGGCTTAAATGTGGAGATCTGCTCCCAGTTTGGAGAGGGCTCTGCGTCTGTGGCCATTTAAATAGCTCACGGATGAGAAGAGCAATCCCATGCACTCTACTACTTCCTCCCTTAAGGAAGTTTCTCCAAGAGGCACTTTAAATCCCAGGTTATTTACAAACTCTCATCTGATTATCAATATATAAGTTAATTTAGTTTCATTTGTTCACTTCATTCTGTAATGAAAACCTACTAGTTTCACAGGGAACCACTGGTATTTTGGAACTGTGATTGGTTTGATACTGTCTGCAGCATATAGTTATAGCTGTTTATTCAAATCCTGATGTTAATATACTGCAGATCTAGTTTTCAGCTGTAAGGTGGTTTAGAAGTTTTCCCTTTGCAACCATGTTAAAGACATTAATGACTTCCTTTTCTTTCTGCATTACCGGTATCCTTGGCCAAGATAGCAGAAAAGAACTGATCAGTAAGTAGAAAATGCAGCTCTTGTCATTTCAGGGCATTTGCCTTACACTAAATTCACATAAATCAACAACACCCATATCATCTTCATTACTTAAGGCTTGTAGCAGAAAATGTAGGTGTAGTAAAGGAGCTACAGTATTATGCTGTGAGAGAAGCACCTATGTCAAGAGCAGATGATTTACCTGCTGAATACTCAAGAAAAATTCTGCAAGTTAGGAATGAAAGTGGTTTTGTTCCAAAATGCACAGAAGGCAGCAGTGAGACCAACTTGAAAGACTTACTGGAAGGAAGTTGTGAAAATACCAGTGTTGCATAACTTGGAACAGTTAATGCTACAGGTGTTCTCTTTATGAACCTCCCTTACCCTGGCTTGCACTGACTTAGCACAATTGCTGAGTCTCCTCATTTCTGGAAAGTGTTGAACTTCACAAGCTCCAACAGTTTGTATTGGAAAGAGAGAGAAAGAAGCATACAGACAGACAGATTGGTCAGGGAGGCAGAAAATCCCAAACTAGAATCATATCACCTCTAGGAACAAATTCTACAGCTCCAACAAAGGCAGACTTAGGAGGGGGAAAATCAGACACAACTCTTGCCTAGGTAGACTGTTAAGGATAAATGAAAATTTAAGTTTTCCTGTGCTGACTGCCATTTTAAAGCCTGTTTTATGGTTTAGTTTTCAGTAGAAATTACAAAATGTACTTCAAGAAGTCAAACTAGCAAGACTTCCATTGCAGCAAAGCAGAATATGCTCTTAAAGTAGACATCTATTTTTCAAATAATTCTCTTCTAGACCTCTTTCTCCTCCATCCCTCCAAGCTCATCACCTTTGTACTCAAAATGTTCTCATGTCAGCACTTCTTTTTGCTACCCAGGGCATCCTTAGTGTACTCCAATCTCTATTTCTCTGATCCTCCTCTTATTTCCTCCTCTTTCCCCCAAAAAGAAATCCCTACTCTGTTCTGTTTCCTGTCATTCCTACAGCTGGTCCTGGTGTGACCATGTAGCTCAGGTTCTTCTGAGCTTCCCACGTTTCTTCTGCAAAACCCACATTTGCATTGCACTAAAATACTCAGTCCCACACCAGGTGAGTCCATTCCCACCTTTGTTTCTCAGCAGCTTCCAGTCTCACTCTCACAACTCTCCACCTCAATGACCAGTTACAAACCCTGTGCCTGTCTGGCCTCCCCAGACTCCGCTTCCCTCTGCTGATCTTGTGTCTCTTGTATATTTGAATCACCCAGTTTCCTTCATGATGGGGAAGAAGCAAACTCTGAAGAAGCTGAAAAACCACTGGACGAAGAGACCTGGCCTCAACTATTTCAACCTGAAAGTCTGGCAGAGCTAACACAGATAGAAACAGGCTTTCAAAAGCAATAGGTGGCAACTCAAGTAGCAGATGCTGCCCTATTGGGAAGGAGGGAACTGGTGAAATTTGGTCCTTCTGTGCAAGGGGTGGACTACTTAGTGCTAGCTCTTACTTAAGAGAGATCATGGCTCTGAAAGTCCTGTTGGAGTGCAAGCCATCGGACTGACTGCCTAGAAGCCAAATAATAGTGAGTAGACAGAGAAGGTAACATGAATGGGTTGCGAGTCTGTCATATATATAAAGAAGATTTTAGGATTACGTGTATTTACCAAAAAGAAATTAATAGGAGACAATTGAGAATTTAAACTGGATAGCTGCAGTTGTAAAATTGCAATGCAATAAATAAATAAATAAACATTTTCCAAACACGTTTCTTAAACCGTGCAACATCTTTGAGGGCCAAATTTTGCTCTTTGATATTCCATCCTAATTCCCTTCAGCCTGCTGCTCTCAGAAATACTGTGGATACAACATGTGGTACAAAGAGTTCCACAGTGCCTCTAAAGGACAAAATTCTGTCTTCAGTCCCATCACACAGCTGAACTGATTATGCAAACTTCTGCTGCACCCAGATGATTTCATTGCTAAATCCACGCTTATAAGTAAAGTAACAGAATAAGACCAAGTATAATGCTTTAATACATTGCTATTTTCACCAGTAAAATGATGAAACCCACTGAAAATGGGTTAAGAAAGGCAAACCTTAGACAGCAGTGCTATGGTGGCTGTTGTGTGGAGTAGCAACCTGTGAAGAGCTTTGCATTTACTCCTGTGAAAAAGCCACAGAAGATCGGTGACTAATCACAGCGCTGCATCTCTCATTAAAAAGAGTGCCAGGAACTTGGTGGGATGTACTCACCACTCAGTCAATTGCTGAAACCTCATCCCTACTAGATCACTTGATCAAGTATCACAGTTAGGACATTAGTAGGATTTTCAAACAAGCCTTGTTCTGAAATGCAATTATACAGGCTGAGAAAATTGAGGCTGTTCAGCCTAGAGAAGACTGTGTGGAGACCTCATAGCAGCCTTCCAGTATCTGAAGGGGGTCTGTAAGGATGTTGGGGAGGGACTCTTCGTTAGGGACTGTAGTGGTAGGACAAGGGGGAATGGCTTTAAACTTAAACAGAAAGTTACATTAGATACAAGGAAGAAGTTCTTTACAGTGAGGGTGGTGAGGCACTGGAATGGGTTGCCCAAGGAAGTTGTGAATGCTCCAACCCTGGCAAGTGTTCAAGGCCTGGTTGGAGAGAGCATTGGGCGACACAGTTTAGTGCGAGGTGTCCCTGCTCATGGGAGGGGGATTGGAACTTGATGATCTTAAGGTCCTTTCCAATCCTGACCATTCTATGATTCTATGGTCTGATTCTCTGTGACTTCTTGTTTGCCACTTAGTGCAAAGACAAATGCAAAGCAAAAGCTGAGAAGTGCAACACATAGGAGTGACTTGCCAGCTTCTTGTATTTAAAACCCAAAGATATGAATGAATGTATAACAGAAAGCATCTCAGGCCCTGTGAATCTGTCCAATGCACTGACTGTATGTAGTATTTCACAGCACACAGCTGAGCCAAATTCTGGTGCTTGGCTTCAGCATGAGTTTTCCACTGTAAGGGTGTCAGGATTTGTCTCCCTTTTCTTTTAATCCTGCCTTGAAAGCACATCCACTTCATCATCAAAACTGAAACTGTTCTTGAAGCACACCAGTTATTTTGAGGCTTGCCTTCTCAAGTCTACACCAGTTATTTATCAAGGTTCTCCAAGTGATTTCAAAGCACTGAAAGAATCCCAATCCTGTTGTGGCTACAGGGAGCATCTTCTCATAGAATTAAGGGGCTGTTTCTCTGTTCTTTTTTCCACTGCTTTCATTCCTCTATGCAGCAAAGCATGTACTTTGCTGGGTTGTTCTGTGATTACACCCGCAATGAAAACTGAATAGATGCTTTCCTGAGCTGAATGCCCAGCACTGGCTGGTTTTGCTCACAGGGCCCTCACTGGCTGCAGCTGGGCCTCCCACATGCAGCTTGAATGGCACCTAAATACAGAAAACCACCTTTTCAAAGCCTGGCAGAGAAATACTATTGATGTTTGATATGTCAGGACAGTTATAGCTTTAAATTAGACCTTACCCATTTCTCCCCAGAAGAAAGGGTTGATTCCACCTGTTGTGCAGTTGTACACCAACATGGTTTTTGGTCTGGAAAAGAGAAGAATTATTTTGAGCTGTATTAGATAAGCACCCAAAGCCTTAAAAACAGAGCATGAAATCTAACAGCCTAAGAAACAGTAACATGAGCTCATAAAAAAATGTATTTTTCATAAATATGAAAACGCGGTATAAAATACAAAGTTTTGATAAGATCCAGTCAGATTCTGGAAAACAGATGAAGTTAATAAAGACAGTTGGGGTTTAATAAAAATAATCCATATATAACTCATGAAAAGTTAGAAAACCAATAAGGAAAGCATGCATACTGACAAATTTCTCATTACATTTTTCCCCCAATAGTTTCTCTGAGTATATTGTAAATAATTGGCCTAAGCCAACCTCAGGGACATGCTGTGTATTTTACAATCATTTTCTTAATAGATATGAATTTTGGCTACTTTTTAAATTCCATTTGTTATGGTGGTGATTACGAATCAATCCATTTCATCAAAATTCTCATTTTACTATCAAATAAAGTCTGGCTGTTATTTGGGCATGGAACTAAATATGGATTACACTAGTGTCATGTCTTCTTTCAATACAAGAGATGAATCAAACAGTTTTTTTCAACCTAAACCTGCCTTGCCAAGGATGCAAGTGATCAATACAGCATTTTTCTTACTTTATATTAGCAGCTGAAGCCAAAATGCTAAAAGAAGTGAGATCTGGCCTTGAATAAGGGATAGCAGCTTGGCTGGAAGATACAGCATCTCAGTGCTTCTAGGGTGCCTGTAGTGCTCCTCCACTGGGGGAGCCCATGGGGAACCTCTCTTTTAAAAACACCTAAACCTGGGATAGGAAATCTCACACAGCAATATTTGAAAACTGCATTTGGATAATGCAGTTTTAATGGTGCTTTTTTTAACAATGCTTTGCTATCATGGCATTAACTGTGTATTAGCATTATTATAATCCCTAGCAGACTTCTAGGGATGGTTAGGACTGATAGATGTGTCAAGCTCTGAATCCATGATCTCCTGTAACTTTGAATTACTGAGTAGAAGTCTGATAGAGTGTCAAACATAAAAATGCTCAGTAGAGCTTTATGTGGGAAACTGCATCATGGTAACAGTACTAAAGCCCGTAATACGTGCCCATATAGAAAACTCACCTAGTACTACACACATAGCCTGATGGAAAGTGCACTGAAGTGAAAGCACAGACTTCCACTTGCTGCAGTGGGTTAGGCCCATTAAACACCTTGAAAAGGATTTCTCCATTTTCCCGGCTTTCACTGAAGAATTTTTCTTCGTTGATTTTATTCCCTTCTCCACCCTCCAGCTGATCAGTGACCTTGGTGGAGTGTAGAGCTTTGTAGACTTCTACACTACGTACTGAACACTGCAATTCTCGGCTAAGTTTTAGAATCTAATTTCTGCTGGTAATGTCACATGCCCTGAAGGGTACCAACTTTCTGATTAGATGATTGGAAAAAAATTAAAAATTAAACCATACAAGCTATTTTTCAAGACAGCACCTAAACACAAAACTCTCTGAGAAATCAAATTTACAGAAGGCTCAGGCTCTTGATTTTTGTATACAGATTGCTAACCTTGGGGTTGTGCCCAGCTAGACAAAGCTTTAAATCAAGTTTTGCAACTGCTCATTTAGCCTAATAATTATTTGTTTGGGAACCAGATTAAAACCATGTAGCTTTTGCCAATGAAAAGTCAGAAAAGATGGCATTTCTTCTATGATGGCCAGAGCCAGGAATTCTACCTGTGTGCTTCTTTCTATATGTTCACTTCCTTTTCCAGCTCCATGGACAAGCTGTAGCCCTCTTCATCTGAAGGCTCTTGGGGTGTATGTGTGTGTGTGTAAGGGGAAGCTGTGTTTATTTTTCCCAGACCATGCTGCCTTGGCTGTTGCTGATGGAAGGGGACAAAACAATGAGATAAATAAATCTGGAGAGCTAGTGAACTGCTTTTTAAGATCCTTTTAGGATCTCTGTATTTAGGTTACTGTATGCAGCTCTTCTCTACCCTCAGCTCAGAGGGCTTACTCTGTCTTTCAGAGTAAAATACTTGTGCCTTTTATGTGCCTGCTATTGATTTCTCAGAATTGCATAAACATCCAGAATTATTCATGTGGTTTACTCTGTAGCACTTCATACCTAATGATTACAGTCAGAGTCAAGAGGTTCACAGGAAAAGAGCTTAAATCCTTAATGTCACTTACACGTACCTTTCTAAACAATGCAAAGAATGGAGGTTTTTTAGATGTCCCCTATCATGTGAACTCATAATATATTTATATTGCGCAGTGTTTTCCAAGGAAAATGCAGTGCATTTTCACCAAGAAAACTCTAAAAGACATATGAAATGCAACTCTGTGCAGCTGCGTAAGAACGCCCCAAAAACAGCTGCTGCGAAGCTGCAATAAAATTCTTGGCCTTCAGAAAAGTGACTTCTGAGAGACAGGCTTGTCAGCTGAGTCTACATTGTACTGAGAAACAGGTCTCACCTCCAGCTTTAAAGATTTCGTAACTTAAAAGCCTGCCTTTATCAGTTCTGCTTAAGTCCTAGTCCTTGCCAACTTGGGGGAGAACACATGAACCAGAAAATGAATCAAGCAGGCTCTTGCACAGGTTTTCAATTAGCATCTGGCTCCCTTTAAAGTCCTGGTGCAGGTAATAGATGCCCAAGTCTGGCAAAACAGGAGTGCCTTCCCACCTGTGCACAGCAGTGTACCACCCGGCTGCAAGGGTGAGGTTGATGGCGACGTCTACTGGAATCATATCTGCCACTGCTTCGTTGTTGGCAATGACAGTCCGCAGAATCCCTTTTCCTGCCTGTGGAATAAAGGAAAACAGTCACTGATGTAAGGCCATGGTAGAATTTCATCGGCTTGGGCTAAGGAAACACGGTCACGTTAGCACTTTTCAAGCCTGGCACCTGCTGCAGAAGAGTATTTGGTTTCTGTGGAAACAAAGATGGATCCCACTGTTCTGCATTTCCAGAGGAAGTCAAAAACATGATGACAACTGTGCTGCATATAACAAGAGAAGCTGTGATTCTTATTTAATTCAGTATGAAAGAAATACCTTAGGAAAGAAATATATTTGAATTTAATGAAGTAAAATTCCCAGTCATATCTGAAGATACATTTTCTTAAATGACACAGGCAGAGGTCTGAGTGTCCCTCAAAGACAGTAGTCACTTTGGAAATGACACCAATGGACTCTCTGAGAAGTTTACTCCCTTCCCTTCGGATGTATTCACATCTTCCTCTTCTCCAAAGCTGTGTCTGTTAAGCACAAAAATACAGTCAAGACATGGTCCCTGCCTTGAAGAGTCTGCCACCCAGTGAAACTCAGGAAATGAATGAGCGCAAATACAAAGGACTGACAACCAACATTTTGCTGTGGTTGGAAGTGCATTTGTGAGGGGATCAGTCTCCCCAAAATATATACGTATTTAACATTAATGTTTATGAAGGGGTTTCCCTGATGACCAATTAGTTTTTGGAGGTTCCACAAGAGAGAGACAGCAACAGATGGCAACAACATGGCAGACTGAATCAAAGACGGCAATTCAGCAATATAAGAACATAGCGGTGAAATGGGGTGAAGAAACTTCACCTACTGGGCAGGTATTAGGGCTGAACAGAGCACACAAAAAAAGAAACCCCCAACAGCAAAGTCACGGTTGCAATCAAGTTATCTAGCATGTGAGAAATAAAATGCAGCGAAGCTGAGGACCCAGTGGAAAAGCTGTGAGGATAAAAGCGCTAGTGAAGCATGGAATTTTCATTAGCTAAGACTCCTCAGCAGTCACATCTCATTCTTGGTGCAGCTGGCAGAGGGATCATAGACAGACTCAGACACAGGCAACCATGTAAGCTTTCCCACATGACTCCATGCTCCTCAAATCCATAGCATACAGTTAACTTCTGCTGCTATAAGCTGAACCTCAGCTGAACCACAGATACACTTAGAGATTAAAACCTTAACCTGGAACATCACTTTTTTTCTTTTTTCTTACTACTTACTACTGTTGTAACTACTTTTTTTCAAGGGGAAAAAAACCAAAAAGAACCAAAGGAAGCCATCAAGCTCAGCTATGAATTTTCCACTGCTGTGAACACATGCCCACTAAAGAGCACTGTGTGATCAACTATCACATTTTCATATGTACACTGAAGACCTGTTTGAGGTTTTCATAACTAGGAAGTTTGACAGATGTGCTGCAGACATGCCTGCATTCAGAGCAGCATGTGATAGTCATATACACATGCATGAATTAGAGATTTCATATATTGTGTATTTACTAAAGAGTTTGACTGTTTTAAGTTATGCGTTGGAAACGTTTTGGTCCTTCTTTATCAGGTATGGCCTGATTTCTGTTTGTAGCTGCTGACTTTTTTCTCTTTAATGAAATAGAAGCTACTGTAGCTGAAGCCTCCAAAATAATTTCCCAGTCTGAGCCTGATGTTTCCAGACAGCTTCCCAGCTGAAGCACTTCTGGGCAAGTCACTGTCCAGAACATGACTTAAATCATTGTTCTGCCTTACAGATCCACTGCGCCTTGCAGGGAAGAAAATCTTTACATGTAATATGGAACAGTGAGACAAAATGCCTCAATTGCAGTCCAGTGGAAATGTAATTGATTTAATTTTGTTCTTCAATCAACAAAGCTTCTCCCCACATCAGCTGAAGCAACTGTAGGTAAAGGCAACATAATCACATTACCCACAACAACCTGAACTCCCATATTTCATGAATATTTAAAAGAAATATATCTATTTATGGAATGAAATGATCAGACTCAAATATTGTAGAGGTGGCTGAGGAAAAGTCTTTGCAAGGTCTGGAGTTTGGATTCTTCCCAGATGAACACAAAGACCATTTGAAACAAATCTGAGTGTGGTGGTTGTTTTCCATACAGGATGAGCTTGGGTTAGAAGTTGAAAGTGAGTATTTTGGTATGGGGGAGACATTTTAAAAAACAAACAAACCAACCACCAAAACACTTCCTTTTTGCTTTCTCCATCCTTAATTAAGGCAAACAAAGCTACCTGAGTAATAAATACAGTTTGAAGCCAAGAGAGCTGGTTGTAATCACACAACTTCCAGGTAATCAAACTAATGCATAACTCGGATGTTCGAGGGTTAATTTTCAAACTACCGAACAGGAATTACCAATTCACCATATCCAAGCACATTAATTCAAACCATGTATTTATTTTCCCCCCTCCCCCAGCAGACCAGAAGTGTCTTGGGCTCCCTGATAATAAATACCTTTCACTTCCAGAGAACTAGTACCAGTCCAGCTAAGTTGCTCTTTGTTTTATTTTTATTGGTTATATCTTGATATATTTACATATCAAATCATCACATTTCATCACTGAGGAGCTCAGTGCAGATGACATGAATTTCATTGTAGCTTTATTTCCTATACTGATGAACCTCAGAGTTTAAATCCTGAACCAAAAAATGCCATCTCATTTCAAAACTCTTTCAGAGCAAGTCAAAGCTTTTCTATAAAAGGGAAGTTATTTACTACAGTGACCCTAGATTCTCAAAACCTTTACTTTCCACAGAGTTAATCTGGAGATAAAGATACAGGCTGGCATCTATATGTGAAATCTGGCCTGAGTGAAGCCACCATTAGTTCTACTGTTGCTTTCAGTTTTCGCTTTGAAGAACAGAAAATATTAGTTACTAGTATGTGTGGCAAAAGATAAGCATATAAAATATATGCAAGCTCTAGTGTAAGTTCCAATGCGGACACTATTGAAAACCTGACATATGGGCCAAATTTCCAAATACTTAACCATTAGGGGTTTTTTTAGTTGTTGGCAGATTAAAAGAAGAGGGGGGAAATGCTTTTTAAATGACAAAATATTTGATTGGCATGTTTTTATATGGCTGAAAGCACATGAGTTTGGTCTGTGTTTTGTAACATACTGGTATATGATACATGTATGACAGCTAGCTGCTGTAATTTGTTACTTAGGTAACATTTGTGGATGACCCAAGTAAATAAAGAGCAATGCTATCGAACTTTTTTCTGTGACATCCTTCTTGCAAACCAATTCTGGACGAATTTTTGTGACGGACATCTTTAATGTTCAAAAGTAATCATAAAAACATCAAAGCTCACAGATATCATTACAGAAGTTAGAACCTATCATGTAAAAATGTAAGCAGTGGATCTGCAAAATGAAGTAACTGCAAAACTTTCTTTATCGTGATGAGAGCATCACGAATGGAACCCTGAAAACAGCACAAGATGCTGTAAGTAGAGCAGAGCAACAGTATGAGCCTTATGAGCAATCAGCAACGAGTAAAAGGCTGATGGATAATTGTTTTGAAGAAACTGTGACATGAACAGAAGCTAATAACCCTTTGTGAACAAAAACAATGTGTTTTGGGGGCTTCTGAATGTCTCTGAAGTGTGGGGTTTCAGATAAAAGCATTAGCTGGGATACACCCACTAGTTTCACTGGCCCTGTGGTTGTAACTGTAGCAGTTTCTATTTATGCTCTACTTCAGGTATAAATGAGCTTTTCTAACAAGATGATATTTGGATTTTATTCTGGTCTCCTATCATTCTAGACTATTAATCCTTTTATACATGCTGCATCGGGCTGATTACAATATAGTTTTTACTATATAGTTTTAAGTTGGACAAATCTTATGTGAACAAAAATACCTGCCCATTGCTATACAGCATTATGTAGTGACAAACAGACCTAAGGCAACAATTTTAGTTCAGAAACAAATATAAGCCAGGAGAAAAGGTATACAACTTTGCTGTTTTCATATGTTAAATTGTAATGATTGTTTTCATATTACAGGCAATATTTTACCACGTTATTAATTATCTTATGGATTTGTTCCTCACCACTTTGCACAGTAGTTATTCACACCAGTGTTAAGCAAGGACATAGTGAATTATCCATGTGGCTGGCAGAGTGAATTGATAGTTATGCACATTTTTTGGGTGTACTTTACTGTCCTGGGTTCAGCTACAGCAGTCA